TTGGGGGAGGGGGTGATGAGGGGAGAGGGGCGGGAATTAGTCGTTTGTTTGAGTAAGGTTTTACGGCGCTCGCAACTGCATAAGGTCACATGAGCGCCAAGGGGTGGATATCAACAGAGAAGTCCAAACGGAGAATTAGGCTTTCTCTGCTCTCCTCTCTAGCTTCAACAGCACAAAGTCTGCTTCGGCTATCAAGGCACCCCGGAAATAGCAGGTCACAAGAGAGTGACAAACATACAAAAGAAGTCGAGGAAAAAATGACAATAGTAAGGATTAGGAAAGAAAAAGAAGCAGTCCCCTGTTGCAGTCCAGGAACAGTTATGAGCGTGACATGAATCAGCCTAATTACAATCCTACTGTGCATAAGAAAATGTTAATATCCCCCTTTTGGGAATGGCCTAAAGACACTTCAGTCTGCAGCACGCCCTGGGCGCGGGGGGAGGGGGTGGGGAATTAATAAAGTGTGCGTGTGGGGGAGGGGCTAGTTTGCTATATGGTCGATTCTAAGGACAAACGGGCTAACCCAGATTTCGGGGTTTTCTATAGATCTAGACCGACACCAAATGTGGGCATTGCTCTACCAATAGAAGAAGTTTGGTTTCATTGGTGTGTCTATTTGTTTGGTTATAGAGAAACTCTCCTTGTCTTTTAAAAGAAACTGAAAAGGGGGCACAGATTTTACGTTCGATTTGATCAAAACAGAATTTTTCGGGATAGCTCCCTTGTGCTTAACCTTATCCCTACGTTGTGTTTTACTATCGTATCCATACGACGTGGGGAACTCTGTGCCACCACTTTCCAAAGAGGATATTTACTCGTTAAACCGATCCGTACGCTTTGCATTGCAGTCTGTCAAAATGCTTTTTAGAGAAATACTGAAAGTTTCAAAGAGATCTTCGTACTCAGAAGTATTCTAAAATGTCAAGAATACAACCCCGGTGATTCGAAATGACCCCAGGGCGTACGGATTTAAAAGTGACCAAATTTGAACCACATACCCTCTGTCTACCACACACCCTATGTCTCCTCTCTGAGAGACTTGAGCCTCTCCCTCCCACTCCACCTGTCAGGAAGGTAGGAAAGACATCTGTCTTGTCCGCGACACTCAAAAATGTCTCCGGGTTTATTTGTCTGACGTCTCAATTCATTCGTGGAATCTGTGCACACGTGTTGTGTCCTGTGTCGTGTGTACCGTGTGTTCTGTGGCGGGTGTGTTCTGGGTCATGTGTGTTACTGCATTGTAAACATAATAGTATTATTCTACGGTACCCAACCGTCTACTAAAGAAGTTTTTGCTCGTCATTCGTGTGTGTGTGTGTGTGTGTGTGTGTGTGTGTGTGTGTGTGTGTGTGTGTGTGTGTGTGTGTGATT